GTTGCATTGTTGTTTGTGAAGTATTCAACCTTTCTGACAAGCACTTGTTATCTTAAAGTTATAATTCGGTATTGCATGTCTCAATTACCAGTTTATAACACATTTATAACTGATTGTATTTGGTGAAAACTGGCTAGCCTTATATACAACATGTTTTCATATGTCATTATTAGAAACATGAATACATCTGAGATATAACTTATTTATAACATGTTATTAATAAGTTATAATTCAGTTGTACTCATGTTTCCAAAAATGACATATGAAAACATGTTGTATATAAGGCTAGCAAGTTTTCATCAAAAACAATCAGTTATAAAAGTGTTATAAATAGGCAATTGAGAGTTGCCATACCTAATTATAACTTCAATATACGATACAAGTAATGTTCTTGTTTGTCGTGTTATAAACATGTTTTGATAACAATTATGAAATCTCTCAATGCATTCTACAAACTGCACTACAATATGGCTGAACAATGAAACAATGTATAGAATGAAAAAAACATTTAATTTGTGTTTTCAACATCACATGTACGTTTTGTAACAGAGAAAAGTAAGATAATTAAAAAAGAAAGTTGATATTCTATTTGTTTTTGTTTTTTGCAATGTTGGAGAATTTTATCCAGGATTTTTTATGCAATTCAATTTATTATATTAAGCTTTTTCTGAGAGCCAATGAGTTTTTTAGAAGTAGAATGTATAGATTTACCATAAATTTGAAACCGCATAAATGTTTGCAGTACGGAATCTCAGTTAAGGCACTTTATTCGCACGACAAAATTCCTCAGAAGAATAAGTTGTGTAAATTGATGATAAACAAATTCCATTCGTAGGAAGGATAAAATTAATTTACAACATGTCCAATACAGTAGGTTGCATTATAGTCATAAATAATTTGCGCAAGTCAAGCATATGTTATATATAAATCCCACCTCTTGCGCTTTTTTCGGTATAAATAAGTTGTATATAAGTGACTAGACGTAAATGTTTACCGCTGATCTTGTCATAAATAAGATATGTATACCCGTTTATGACAAATTGTGTTGCTTGGGATTACATTAAGAATCTGCTGATATATATATTTTTTTAATTTTCTTCAATAAACATTTGAAAAATGTACAAATTATAATATTATCTCTGTTTTCATAAAATAAACATTTTGCCCTACCCCAGTCATCATAATCGAGTACCATTTGGTTGTACATAGTTCTGATTGACATAAAACAGCGCTGCTGTCGTGCCTCTGCTCATTAATAGAGTCAGTGTCAGTTCCTATTGTAGTCGATGTCGATGTCGAATTTAGTGCACATTGATCAGAGCAAAATAGCTCAAGATTGATCAACCCAATGTAGTTATGTAGGGAAAATTCTGTCAATTCTCAACCATTACATTAAATTTAAATACGTTATCTCATGCGTAATATTAACAGTGGTTTGATTAGGCTAACATGAATTATCGCGAGTTTTGAACCATAACCGAAACATTTAAATACTTGAAAAATTTAGGTAAAGTATAATAGTAGTTCTACGTTATACTGCGGTCGTGTCTAGGACACGGCCCTTTAATTTTTTTTATTGAACACATTTCAGCTCATTCGTGACTACTCCGGGTGAGATTTGAACTCAGCATGAGAAGCATCCCGAGCAAAGCTGGAGATCAAATTGAAATCAAAAGTAGAAGGGTTTGTGCCTAGGGACACGGTGTACACTATAGGAGGTGAGATATTCCGGAAAATGACATTTGCGCGATGACGTCATTGCTATCCATCTCGTAAACAAGCGCGAGAGAAAGCAGTCTATGAGCGAAGTTAGTGTTTTCAATGCAATTTGCTTTATTTTATTGCTTTTATTGTGGATAATATAGTGGCTTGTGTTTTCTTCATTTAGTTAAAATACTGTACGGCTGGTGTTTATGATGCGTGATGTTAGAAATTAAAACGAGAAGCATTCTGAGCTAACGATTTTCTTTCTAGAGAGCAACACGAGGATGCCTTCTCTGGCTTTAATATTTGATTTGATCTGATGAAAGTCATTCAAATTCATTGGCCAAACCCAGACATACCCCGGATTCCACCAGCCTGTAATCTTGCTCGGAGAAATGTTCCGAGCAGATTTTCAAATGTTGTTGCGTATTTAAATTTCTACCGCAGGCTTCCAACCACAAAACTTTCAAACTTTCCTCACGCGGAAACCAAAAATACTTTAATTGTATCGAACACAGTTTATTCCCTTCGTAATTACTGCAGTTAATTACAGCACACTTCACCATTTTCAACAAATTAAACTCGCACTGCACGGCATAAAATCTATAGTGTACACCGTGTCGCACTACACAATTCGCGTTGCTACGGTTCGCGCTGTTGAAAGATAGCAATGACGTCATTTGTTTACATCCGAACCAGATGTTTACTGTCGGTAGTAGCCTGCCTTGTTATGTATGCCGTGCCTAGGGACACGAATGGAAGCTTAACGTAGGACAGCTAGTGGACGGAACAAATATGTTGTTCATTTAGTTCTTAACTCTTTCCGTTTTTGAATTGGTGGCCCTGAAAAGGGCCGGTTGTTTTTCAAAGGGTGGCCACACCAGTGCAACTCGATGCCGACCGGATGACGGCGGCCTATTCATGATTCCTATTACGGAAAGCCTTTCCTCCGGTCGATGTGGGTGCTTTCGTCGTTGTCCAGCGTCTTCGTATTAGTGCGATGCGTGCTGTTCCACTCATACGTCATGTCCGATGCATATACGTCCGTTGCTCGAAAGCAAATGACGAAGAAAACGATTTGGCAAGCTTTTTTATTATCGTTGCTTTTTTCCTCCCTATTGGTGATATGGTGAGCGAGCAACCGAGCATTGAGCTCGCTCATGTGAGCATGCGCAATGTTTCGTTTGTTCGATGCGCTCTATCGTTGCGTCCGTTTTTGGGATTTTTCGTTACTTGTCTGATTTTTGATTTTTTTTTTCCAGTATAGAAATTAAAGACGTAGGGTAAACGCTCCTATAGTTGCGGTACGTTAGAAGCGTTAGGTTCCTATAGTTGTGTATGGAGACTCCGTACACAACTATAGGAACCTAACGCTTCTAACGTACCGCAACTATAGGAGCGTTTACCTTAGTTCTACGCCAAAATTTGCGGTTATGATGAAACTTATTTTGAATACTCCAGTTGATCTCATTTTGGTTGACTTAGGCTGTGAACGATTTGCCAAGTTAAATTTAACTCGTGGTTAAAAGTGACAATTCGAAAGTTATTTTCCATGTTCGAAAGTCCGTGTGCTGCCGATCGACCAGTTTCGAGGAGAACTTAGCCAGGGTTGTCAAAATTTAACTTCTTGTCTGATAGAAGTTATAACGCTCGGATAGCAAGGTTAATCGATAACTTTCCATCTGTCAAATTTAAACCAAAAGTTAAAATAATCCACCAAATGGTTCAGAGCCTTCACAGCAAAAATGAGAGCAAAATTTTACACTGTTGAATCAAACGGAATTTAATTACTAATTTCTCATTCAAAATGTTTAACTCCATGCTCTCCATGCTTCTCACGCTGAACGACTTTAACTCAAATTTCACCCCCAGCAAGTCACGAATGCCATAAAATGTGTTAAATAAAATAAATAAACTTAGTTCAACGACAGATGAACTTAAATTTAGTTTTAAATATGACGTTAACAGCAGAACTTCAAGTTAAGTTGCTTTCATTTAAAAAGTCTTGACTGCATAATGAAAGCACAATATGAAATCAGACTTATGTCGCACAAATAAAATCAAAATGAGATTTCGTTATGATAGGAACTGCAAACTTTGATATCGTTTTTCTTTCAGTTTGTTAACTGACTTTGCTCGGGATGGATGCTAACCATTGCAAAATCAGTAATCAAATTGATTTAATTGGAAGCAAGATTAGTTTTCCGTTTGATGCAACAGTGTAACATTTGGCTCTCATTTTTGCCGTGTTAACCGTTAAGTCAACCAAAATGAGATCAACTGGAGTCTTCAAAATAAGTTACATCATACAGCAAATTTTGATTTCAATTTGATCTCCAGCTTTGCTCTTTGCGGTCTATGAGGGGTCGATAGGTAGGGTCGAGGTGTGGGAGCTGCTTCCCTGGTATTCAGTACGGAAAACAAGATCGACGGAAAACAAATGAAGGAAAAAAAAACTTTTTCATCAACAGTGTTAAGACTTGTGACGATAACTGAAATAACTAATGTTTACATTCTAGTCAAACATGTTCAAAAGTCAGATGCAGGGAAAATAGCGATTCAGCCTACGTGGCAGAATATTGTAGTTTGAAACGAGCCAAACAGAGCCATTTTCATCTCCACTGAAACTAATTGTTCGCTACATTTGTACAGAAATAACTTTAATAATTGGATCTTTGTTTTGTGTTTGTATAAAAGCCTCAAAGACAAATATAATAATTATTAAATTAGAACTAAACCAACAGAAGAAACAAACAAAATCCAATATTTTAAAAAAAAGTCGTTACATATGAGTTTCCATTTCAAGCTCTCTACCGTATGCTCTATATCTATGAATTTTATATAAATCATATCGAATTGAATAAATTGACGGCTTCATCATCGGTGCTTCAATGCGTGACGGATTGTGTGACGTACAGGCGACGACCATTAATTTGAATGGAAAGAACACATTACTGTTGTGATGTCCGGAACACGTAGCTACATCAGACGTAGCTCAGTTGTGTGACTTTTGATAGTGGGCACTTCTGAAGAAAAACACTCGTTCATACAATATTCACGGTAATTCAACAGATTATATTTAGGGCAGAAGCGTTGGTGCGTCCGAGCTTCAATATTTCAAGCAGAACGTAACGATCGTACCCGGGGGCACAATTTGTACGTTATTTAATTTTAATTTTCAGTACAAAAAATCATAATCCAACCAAAACGTAAATGACAAGAAGGAAAATTTTCTTTTCATGCCTTGCACCTTGTTTTCTTGTCTTCCTTTTTCTCCCACGTCATTGCAATCCCAGGTCATTCGAAGATTTGGCGATTCTGCCAAATGGAACCGTTAACGAAGCGTATCGGCCGCTGGCGATATCACAGTATCACGTCCATGTACACAGGTGGTTGGAGGTCTTCCCACGGGAGCAATTACTCGTTGTCAACGGTGACCAATTGATAGAGGATCCCGTGTCGCAGCTTCGGCGAATCGAGGATTTTTTAGGTGAGTAGCCTTTTATTTGTTGGTGATTCAGCGTGAAGAGGGTCCACATTTTTTTTTCTCGCTTGTGCAGAAGGCAGGATGATTCGGATTTTGTTTACTCTAATTTATCATGGTATACCGGAACGATGATGATCCATTTATGGTTCACTGTATTTCTATTTTATTACATTAGTAGGGATTTGCGACCGAAAAAGCATATATATATTTATTTTAACTCACCTAATATTCTAATATAATTTCAACAATCGCCCAGATAGACAGTAACCTAACCATAGATTTCTTATAAGTTGAGCCAATATCCCATATAGTGTAACAGCTTAAATGATAACGCTTTGTGAAGAATTATGTGTGTGATTTTATACCAGTTGCTTATGAACAAATAAACCATTAACAAAACGATTTTGAGTCAATGGCCAAAATGTAGACACGTATCCTCGATCTAAATAAATTTATCTCATAAAGTATCAATAACAATTAAAAGTTCGAGTTGCAGTAAGTGCTATTCTAAACGAAATAAAAAAAAATGGATCAAAATCCAAAATTTCCACAAATAACAATCACATGCACTGTAGTTTTCCATTAATTTTCGAAAATAGAAGCACCACTAAAATCACACGTCACATTGTTCGGTACAAACTGCTTCCCAAATGACACACGCGTTTTTCACTCTTTATTTGTTACAAATTTAAATTAAACTACATTTAATTTTAACCTTGGTTCTCCAGCTACTACAGTAACTTACCCGCCTTAATTGTTGTGATATATATATGAGTGTTTTTATATTGTTCCTGCTTTGGAAATTCCGTATTTTAGACAGGTTTTCTATACCCGAATGTCAGTGTTCACAGTGACTATGTGACTACTACTACGTTTCAAAAAGCTTGATCTAGGCTTATTTGGAAATATTATAAGTAGAGCCTTAGAAGCGTTGGGAGAAATTTTCCATGTTTGTTAATAAGAAGAAAAAATACCTAAATTTTCTGCAGTCTGCTGCAAATAACACGAAGGCTTCTTCTTTTAGCGGATATGCCTGTATCATCAGCCAACAAAGATTTGTGGCAACCCTGAGGCAAATCAGGGAGGTCCAAAGTGAAAATGTTATACAATATAGGCCCAAGAATGCTACCCTGAGGAACTCCTGCTCTAACAGGTAGTCGATTAGATTTGGAATTTTGATAATTTACCTGCAGAGTTCTGTCAGTTAAATAGTTTTGAACTAATTTCATAATACAGTCATTCTATAGCAAAACGATAAAGTGGTTCGCAGAATTTCGTAAAAATTGGTAGTTTTGTTGCTTATCGCAAAATAATTGACCCGTATTTTTTTTTGTCATTAGGGTGGTTAAAAAAAATCGACACTTTTCAAAAACGACTTTATTTTCGAAAATTCATAACTTGAACCACTGGCCCGATTTCAAAGATCAAAATATCAAATTAAAGGCTATTCAAAATACTTTTAAGGAAGAATATAATGATACTAAAAATATTAGATTTTGTATGGAAACACATTGATTATATTTTTTATGGTTTTCATGGTATAAAGATAAAAGCCGCAATATGTTTTAAAATTATTCCTTGAAAATTTACCCTGGGCATTGGCATAACTTTGAGGATTGCATAACTGCAACCAGGTCCCAGGCCTTGTCTGTATCTTTACATTTTTAAATATTCATACTAGTGATACCAGTTGTGATGTAGTGGACCACAAGTTGTTTGGAATTTAATTACTAGTCAAAATTAAATAATTGTTTTTTATTCTCTAAATAATTGAGTGTAATGACTGCAAAATGTTTTATTTGGTTCAAAACTTTTGGAATGTGACTTCACACAGGTACTACCTTTGTATTTGTCTTGATTGAGAGGTGATTTTTTTTCTTTAGATCAAGACGATGCAGTTTTGAAGAAGGCAACGATATTAACTATCTGCACGCTGGATCAACATATGTATAGCCATGATAGAGGGATAGAACATTATTTTATTTTCGAAAAAAACAGAACCATCAACAAATCATCAGGAAAGTTCTTTAGTATGGGATCCCGGAGAAGAAAAAAATTGGAAGTCCAGTCCACCACGATGTAGAAGGAAGCAGTCGATCGGTGGATCATTGGCAAGAGGTGGCTAATAACTGAAGCGAGTTTAAGGTGTTTCGCTGTGAGATCCTTATTCTAGTAATCACTTCGAAACACTTCAAAACTGCAAGTTCACAAATATCAGCTTCCAGGACACGCACCATAATGAAACTGTTACTCCACGTTCGCTGCACTAAAAATTAAATATTAATTTTATTCGGTATATTATACTGTCATTACTGTTCATACTATCATTCCAACTAATTCATTTAGGCATATTCAATTGACCTGCATTGGGTTATTATTTTGCATGCAATGATATGGGAAAAGGGGGACTCACGATTCAGCATGGAGAGTGTATGGGCCCATACATAAATTCAGTAATCCACTAAATTTTCAATAGCGACCAAAAATATCCAATGACGCGTTCATCTAGACAAAATTGATAAATAGCCACGAGTAATTGGTACCCAATACTAACCTAGAACATGCCATTTAAAAAAACAAGATCCAAAATCGCTGAACTTTAGCTCAAATGTGGATGATTTCCCATAACAAACAATTAAGCAAAGTTTCATGCAAATCGTAGAAGGTCGAGTCTGATCAATTCGTTATTTGGCGTGGAACTGCTCAATATTGATTTTCCGGATACGCTTTTGAAGCTGCACCCAACTACGGAATCCAAATAGCTCAAAGTCAGTGATACCTAGAGCTCGCAAAGCAATAAAAGTTTTCATGACGTAATTCGGTGAGCAAACAAAAACATTGGTGGTCGAAATTCGTATTCAATGAATCCTAATGATTGTTCCTGTCTGGCTGACATAGGCCAGCAGGGTGACCCGACGAATAGCAAAAGGACTGGTTTTTATGGAACAGCCAAAGCACGAACCAAACACGCGCACGTGGATGATTAATTTGCAATGTCCGATAATTATGAAACTTTGCCACGTTTTATTATTGGACATTTCTGCCATCTCAATGAGGCTGGACCACTCTTCGGATGGTAGCTCGTGCCAAGTTTGCCACTTGAAGCGTTCTTTCTACCTTGATCAGAAAGAGCACCCAGCACAAGAGAAACAGAATTTGGGATAACCAGTAGGAATATCTTTCGTTGTTCTTTCCATTTTATGGGGCCAGTCATCAGGAAATATCTGACTGCGGAAAGCGAACGAAAATAATTTGACTTTCCCACTTGAAATAATTGATATTTGATTGTTTCATTTTGAGAAGCACGTCTCGTTGTTGGACAGTGGTTTACCCCTTGTCGATCCAAAGTGCCCTGGTTACACATTCTATGCTATGCGGTATCCCGCTAGCATTGTCAGCTAAAACACGGCATAGTATGCATCCAACGATTATTTTAAAATTTGAATTTTGTAGCCAAAATTTCTTTTGACAAATAAAAAGCATGAAAACCCATTTTTGTGCTTTTTTAAGTTTTGGTAGATTTTATGATTTTTTTAGCGGAAGCTATTGGATTTTCAATCAATTTGTGCAACATCAATTTTCTTCTCTCATCTTCCATCAGGCACAACTTTTTGTAAGCTTCACGAATCGTGACGAAATTTGCATCATTGAATGAGGAACACTTTCCAAGTAAACTGTTGTCAAAAAATTCCAGAATCTAGGGGCGCTGCTGCAAAATAATTTGTGCATCCGGTTTCTAACTGAAGCAGACATTAATACCAGTGAATCACCTCAAAAACCATTGCAGATGCCGGGGTAAGACAGCGACCCTAAGCTTAAAGTAAAATTTAACCAAAACTATATCAAATATGATTATATTGATTTTCAGGAAATTTCCTTTTCATTTGATGATGTTTTAACACGAACCAAAACAAGTCCAAATAATGCAAGAAAAAAATCAGGCCTAGGGGTAAGATGGCCACATGATCTAAAGAAGATATAGAAGATTACTGTCTTCAGCAAAGTTGTACAGCGGTTGACCGGTTGGTTAGAGAACAGTAGCTTAGAATTGTATCACAATATGGCGCTAAGTTAATTTGCTGTATAAAATAGGGGAAATGTCTCTAATCTTGGCCCTTGTATCTAAGATTGGGCCCATCGCTAAAAATCTGCTATTTATCAATTTTGTCTAGTTGAACGCGTTATTGGGACGTCACTAATGGATATTTTTGGTTGCTATTGAAAATTTAGTCGATTGCTGAATTTATGTATGGGCCCAAATTAGGGACACTTAGGCCGACATTACCTGCATTTCCCCTATATCTTGAGATCTTAACTATATAGGAAGTTTCCGCTTTCGGAAAAGTTGAACAGCTGACTAAGGCAAGGGGCGTGCACTTCCAGGTATGAGTGCGTGATATTTTAAGCACTTCGTTTGAATTTATATACTTTTAGCGGTATTGATAGCAATCATCAAATAATTAACAATAATTAATGTAATGAAACATAAATTAAATGAATTAAAATAGCAAAGTTGGCCAGAAATCAAAATATTTAATTAAATTAAGGGTATATTTAACGTAATGAATGCAAGATCAGAGCGTAAAATTATTGACTGCTAAGGCTGAGTGTGAAAGCACTGCACTATTCAATCCATTGCTCTGTGCAGACCGTTTGTACCAAACGGTAAAGGACGAGGCAATGAAAGAGGCAAGAAAAAAAATTCAGTCACTCCCGAACAGGCGACTCACACCACTTGTCTTCACTCACACAGCATGTAATTGAGGCATTTTTCCATAGAAAATGTACGCTCAGTCATTCAAAACAAGTATCACGGAAAAATAAACGTGCTGACTGTGCTACTGACTGAGTGCTCGGCTATCAGTGACTCGTTAACCTCTGAATCATTCAGACTCTCACGAGCCAGTGAATGATGAGGCAGATGGCAGTTCATATTCATGTGAAAATGACACATTGAACCTGACTGTTTTGCGCAATGTGCAAGATTTTAAATATTTGGTCAG